TGTCATACACCTTCCCAAAAATGCTAAGATCCCTGAGAAACCGGAGGACGCTTCTACCAAGCCTTGGGAAGCCCTCCGCATCACTCAAAAGGAATGGGAAAGAAGATCCAAACTGCGCGTATGCTTGCATTGTCAAAAGCCTGGGCATGCTGTGCAGGATTACTATCGTCTTCAGGGAAACAGGCAAGGGGCGTAGAAGAGACATCAACACTCTCTACGACAAGGGAAGCTGAGCAGTCAGCTGCAGGCCCTTCCGAGGAGCCTGGATCTGATCAGCAGCTTGCTCTTGAAGCCCGAACTAATGTCGACTCCGAGGCTGGTGCAGTCCAAGTGTTATACACTGAGCCTTGGGAGGAGTCTAGAGAAGTTGACCTCCACGCCCACATGGAGCATCGGCTGCAGCTCAAGCAGCAACGCCGTGTTCAGGGGAGCGTGGAGCTGACTTTCTTTAAACTGCTCATTAACCGCCGATACATCCGTGTGCTGATTGACAGTGGTTCGACCACTAATTTCTTCTCTCCGAACGGGATTCGCAAGGCGGGCCTGGGTATGAAGCAAGTGGAACTGCAGAACCCTCGCCGGACTCAGGTGGGCAACCAAGAGGTTGTCACTTCCACTCATGCTGTCAAAGGTGTGCGCATCACCTTTGACAAAGATCGCACTGTCACACATGAGCTGAATTTTTACGTCCTGGACAAGTGTCCTTTCGACGCGGTCATTGGCTTGGGCTGGCTAAAGGCTCATTGCCTAAGGACCACGGGGGCGGACAACCAGCTCGTGGTACTTGACGCCAAGGGGAACGAGCGTACCTTCTTGTTAGATGAGACGCGCGAGTCCCCTGTGACTCTTCTCAGTGCTAACAAATTCTGCAGGACAGTGCGCAGGCGCAAGGAAGCTGAGTTTGTACATATAGGTCTTGTGAAGCCTCTCCATGTGCCTTTTACTTCCACTTCTGTTCCACCTACTTCTACTGTAAATGATCAATCTATTTCTGATCCAAATACTTCGAAACCGGTTGTGATTACTGTAAATTCTCGATCTGATTTTCTCTCCCCTGATGAGGATGATCCGCCACCGGAAATCCCAGCGAACATTCGCCTTCTATTAGATCGATTTCCTGAAGTTTTGGCTGAACCTCGCGGAGTACCCGAGCGTCCAGTCAAACACAAGATCGAGATAGTAGAAGGGAGTGTTCCTCCAAAGGGCTGCGTCTACCGTATGGGACAAGGCGAGTTGGAGGAGCTGCGAAGACAAATTGATGACATGATTGATCGTGGATGGATTAGGCCTAGCGAGTCTGAGTTTGGCGCACCTGTTTTGTTTCTACCAAAGAAAGGAGGCAAACTCCGGATGTGTATTGATTCTGGTTCATCCATTCATTGCTATTATTATTATTGAGAGAAGAATAAGATTGGTGAAGAGAAGGAGGAAGGAGGAAGGTGGAGAGAGAAGGGGGAATTGTCATTGGTCTTGCTGGTGTACTTCTTCTTCTTCTTCTTCTTCTTCTTCTTCTTCTTCTTCTTCTTCTTCTTCTTCTTCTTCTTTGCCCCTCCTCTGGTCTTTATCTCTTTGCAAGTGCTTTCATTTCTTTCGCAATTGGGTGGCATTGTCTTTCATTGTGAATTTGCACTTGGGAAATGACCAGGATCGTAACAGGGGTAAAAAGAATTTAAAAGATGGATATCGACTCTCCGCTGATAGCGACACACATAACCACACGAAACGCTTCCTCCCGTTTGGCGGAAGGATGATTAGTAGTAGATTACCCCTTCGGACGTAGGATTGACTGTGAGCCTGCCGCCCCTTTTGGGATTCCCTGTGACCCGGGCCACGCCAAGACTGCCGGATCAGTGCCAGTTTTTTCTTTTTCCCCCTGAGTGCCAGGTTATTCAGGGTCCAAGTTTCAAAGTAGTTCCCACTTCCAAGTGTGGGGGTTTCTCGCTCTGCTCACTCGCAGCTATGGGATGTTGTGGTCGTTGCGCAGATTGCTAAGAAGGAGCTTCTGGGAATTGCCCAGGATTGTTTGACTGGTCTGAAAATGCATGCAGAAGCAGAAAGGTAAAACTGGTGTGCATTATCATTATGCTTTTTTATTTCAAAAAGTGCAGTGACACAGATGTACAAAGTACCACTAGTCCATGTCTGCGCGATTAATTCATGAGGAAAAAACGAAAGTGAAAATGCTGAAACGTTGTTGTGTTGGAGCTATGCAGGGTGGGCTTTGTGGAGGTGGCATGCCGAAGTATTGAAGTATAAACTGTATGATAGTATCTATATATAATATATGTATATTGAGAGAATCAGAACTGGCAAGAAGTTATTGCAGTTGTGTGCTTGTTTTTATGCTCAATGAGTCAATGCCGAAAAAGGAAAGCAGGACGAGCACTAGGGGCAGCGAAATGCATCTTTTCTATGCCACAAGGACAAGAAGAAAAAGGGGATCAAAATGGCTCGTTCAGCGTCACATTAGCTCCTCTTCTTTTTTTTTTTTTTTGCATCTTATAAATAAAATGATAATTCTCATTATCATGGATTTTTCTACTCAAATACATATTGAAATCAATGTGATAAAATGAGAAAGAAATCACAGTGACTGTAATCAATGAATACAAGAAACTAAACAAAAAGGTTAAATCATACAAACCTAATAGCTAGAAAAAATAGCAGAAGACCATCATAGACCAAAATCCAAACAATCCTATTTTATTGAAAGAAACTGCCCAAGGAAATAAAAAAGTAACTTCTAAATATTGGGTCAAAAGTTCCACTGCAACGGTTGCCCGTTCACCCGTCCAGTCTACTAAAGTGGCCACCAAACCGTGCAAGATGTCGTACATCACACGGCTTTCCAACTTGAGTAATGAATAACCTCATGCACGTAGTGGTGGAGGGAGGGGGAGAGAGAGAGAGAGAGAGAAGAGAGAGAGAGAGAGAGAGAGAGAGAGAGAGAGAGAGAGAGAGAGAGAGAGAGAGCCAGTAGGCATAGCTAGAGGAGAGGAGACTGACTGTTTGTGTTTGAGAGAGAGAGAGAGAGCCAGTAGGCATAGCTAGAGGAGAGGAGACTGACTGT